AATTAGAGCTATCACATTTTCAAGGTTTTAGAGAGACCACTTCAATGTGTGGCGCAGAGGTGGAAAACGCTGATCCACATTGGTTCCCAGTCCACTAAAACGTATCTGATCAGAGCCATAAAGAAAGTTGTTGTCGAGGTTTCTCCCAAACTTGAGGGCAAAATTCAAAGAAGATAGCATGAAATGATTGAAATGAAATGAAAATGGCACGAGCCAACACTAACGACCGAATAATTTATTCCTCAAACCTCGGTAATTAAACCGTGATAATAACGGTAACGGTAACCAAATTAATCGACCAAATTCGTTAAAGCACATCACTTGAGAAAGTTGCAATAAACGAGGTGAAATACACAGATAAAAAGGGCAAAGAGAAGTTAATCGTACCCCAGTTGCGTTGCTTTTTGGCTTTCAAGGAATTTCGCACGTGTTAATTGTTTTTGCGTGGCTAGTCTGGCTCGCTTCGCGATATCGCACAACCGAAGGCAGTGAATGGGTATATGAAAAGCTCAGCTCTCATCGTTGAAAGACGGGCTCCGTTCCAATTATATCAAAGTTGTTCGACGAGATTGAATAGACTGGAACTTTTACGTATGTTTCCCGAATCGAGCTGATCACAATATTCGAATATTAATCTGATGTTAATAAATCAAATAGAAATATATTTTGGAAGAGAACATGAATAAGATAAAAACAATGCAAAAAAGAGCACACAAAACTATGGGACGAAATCAACTTGGAGGATGCAAAAATTCCAAAGGTTGCGGGTTTGACCATTTGTGACCATCCGGTTCATTTTGAAAGTGTGGGAATCAGGATCACCTAATGATGAGAGAATGTGGCCACTATTTTTTTCGGGGACTTTTTCAATTTTCTTAAGCCCGTCCCCATGGAAACCGTGCGACTAGGTTAGACTGTTGGCCGTTAGGCAGGTTTACACTCGGATTTTTCGAAAATCAAAAATGTTACGCGGTCAAAATTGCGGTATTAGTATTTCCAGTATCACATCAGACCTACAGTTCTTTGAGCTTAAATTCCTAGTTCTTTAACCCTTTGACGACAATGCGGATTTCGACGTGACGCGCCCATGTGACCATGCTCCCCTTCTTTCGCGCCCAACTGGCTCCCACCGTTGGGTGGCACTGTCCAAGGAGACAAATCACTGGCTTACTGAATTTAGCAATTGCTAGGAAACAAGAAAGTATGGTGACACCCAAAATTGGGTGCCAATGTCTCATGTGCCAGTCATAGTGGCACCCACCGGTGGGTGCCATTGTGGTCAAAGGGTTTACTTTATTCTCAAGCCTTTTTATTTGTAGTTAGATGGATTTATTGTACTGTTACTTCCAATGGATTTGATCACGCAACTTCATTTTCGCACTGATCCTAAGAATATGATTCGGTTGCGATCATCGTATTTTTCAGAGTTATAACTGCCTAATGATTTCTACGGATAACTGGCTTACCATTCACAGTCCTACTTCCTTGCCATAATCGGCTACATATCAGTCATTCGTCTTCACTCAAAGTCTGAATGCAGATTAGCAACAACGTTGGTTATTGAAAACATTCGAAGGATGGAACCAGGGAAGCTAGATCGCAAGACTGAAATCAAAGGATAAGTGAAGGTTGGAACAATTATTTATAAAGCGGTGCATTAGAACGAAGGCCCGCATTACATGATTCATTCATAAGGCTAACGCAATTCAGCTGCATAGAAAAAATCTATGTATCCTTTTGTATTGTTCAAAATTTTCCCCCCTCCTTCAGATACAGTCGTGTACACAGAAGCAGTGAGTAATCTCGGCTCCACTGAAGTAATGGCTCCGCTTGGAGTGGATTTCTTTTGCGATTCATTATATCGGATACCAATAGTCCTTAATTTTGAGAAAAATGTTCCCAATTTAAGAAAAATTTTTGCACGTTGGAGACATCGTGCAAAAATTCATCTCCATTTACCAAGAAAACCAGCGTTGCTTTTAGAAATCATGTCCTCTGTATGACTTTGGTTCTCCAGATTCTTTTTCAAAAATTCGCTAATTTTTTGTTCAAGGCACGATCAATAATTATGGTCGTTGCCGTTCAAATTTCTCAAAAATAGGTTCATCAGATGCAGGTCGACGCGCTGAGTCCAAAGGCAATAACCATATTGATTGATCGCGCCTGTGAACCGAGAAATTATCGACTTTTTGGAAAAATTAACAGAGGAAATGAACGATGTATGAAGTGCGCCTTTCGTAAGGTCATAGGAATCCACTACTCGGGTTCCTGTACGGCCCTTCGCGACCCATACGAAAGAAGAGACCTGATAAAGCAGGTCGATCCTGGACGTGCCTCGAAAGAATGTGCTTCTGCGGATTCACATGCGAGAAATATCTCACTCCATGCTATTATTGTCTCGAACGTGGTCATCATAGTTCGTTGTGTGATTTCCCGGACCAGAGTTAATATATTCGAACACGACTGGAATATGCACGGGAAGGAAGCCTGAGAGGTTCGAATAAGCTGCTTGATCTTTAACACGAACTGGCCTGTTCTGGAGTTGACCTTTAACTTAATGCACACATCCGAGCTATCAGCCTTTGCCTCTAACTTGTTCGTCACCTTCGAGCTACCGGTCTTCATCTTCATCTTTGTGCGCCTTCATGCTCTTATGAGATAAAGTGGTTGTTGAACCGTGATTGCAGTGGCTGCCTTATGATCTCCCTCATCAATAGACCAGATATCAGTTTAGCGCCCAAACGCTCGTATATATAGCAGCGACACCCATTCTCTTTCATAATTCTCCACTGGGTGCCTTGCCTCTAGCCCTTCCATTCATTGATCTAAGTTTCTTCTTCTGGTTGTTATTTTAATTGTACTCCTTTTCGTTTGACCCTTCTCTTCTGCTTTATCCCTTTATTGATGTTTTTCATATTTATGTTCTCATTAATTGTTGTCTCACAATTCCGTCGCTCCCTTCCTTTAACCATTCTACTTTGTTAAAGTTTCTCATAAATATGTTGATTTTTGTTTCTCATAAATGTGGGGTTCAATTACCCAAATCACGCTAGGCATAAGATGCGGCTCAAGGATTCCTGAAAAACAGGCGGTTGTCTCATAAAGTTTTGTATCAGTTAAAATCTTTCAAATAAACGTTGACCGCGATATATAAGTATTGTCAGGATGGCAGTACGTGTGTAATTGAGGTCCAATCAGCGTAGAATTTTTGATGCTGAGCGGCATTCAGACATTCTAAAAGACGGCACTCGAAGCAGGAAAAAGTGAAAGCGATAACGAAATCGACGGTGCAAATGGAATCGTTTGTCGCGCCGTCATTCCAAGATGCGATCGTTTTTGTCGAACTCGGAAATGATGCTCCCATGCATACCGGCCTGGAGAAACCGAATGCTTGATAACCTTTTAACCATTGAAGACCATTTGAGAATTTCGACGCTTCAGCGTTTTTGTTTCATTCGCGGAAAAGTTAGTCCGTGAAATTCTTATTTTTGAAGGCAGCAATATTGTTGAATGGTTTTCAGACTCACTGAAGTGAGGTGTCAACCACTATGAACACATGTCATTGTTAACAATTGAATATTTTACACAAAGATGGAACAAGTGAGCTACACGGCGATACACTCACAAAGCGACAAATGGTATATAATAAATTTTTATAGGGTGGACGAACGACAACTGTTATGACGACGAGGCGGCGGCGATGACCGACGATGACCGGCTGGTGTATGCTTCTTCAGCAACTGCTTTACTTTCGGTAGTAATAGAGCCGTTTGCCTTTCGAGGTGAACACTATGGGCTGTTCTTGGCCTTGATTGAAGCTCAGCATACATTGAACGGGGCTGAAGAAACAATTTCGATCGTATTTCTTCACTGCTTTCGACGATTGCAATATCCACTCTGGATAGCCATCGGATGCGCCTCGGGATGACCTAAATAATACACGATAGTGTCGTTCTATTCAAGGTTTTCAAAGAGCTTTCAAGGTACAGTTCACGATAAAGATGATTTCTGAGATTTTGTCTCGGTATAAGTCTGGCCGAAAAACGACCTCGTCATGATGTTGTTAGGACCGTTCATGTGTGAGTCAGTCAGACGATTGCGAGCAACAATCTCGTTCAGTCCCCTCTCCAACAACTTTTCTGAAGCCTCATACATCTCAAAAAAGACGTGGTTTTTGCGTTCTTTCCGTCATTTCTACACTATTCGAGATGGTACGTACCTCAGAAATATTATGAACTGCTCCTTCGACAAATACATCAGATTATATCAGATATCAGGTTTTTGAAAGGTTTCCATAAAGTTTATAACATCGAAAATTAATTACTGCTTGCAACAGTGAGGAATTTTGTTCAGGGCTAGTAGGTAAAGTCAGACAGGTCTCTTCAAAAGCTCAATGGCTGAGCTTAACAAGAAACAGGATAATCTACGGAGGATCAATGTGTCTGCTGCTGAACAATCGCGGTGTCTTCGGACACGACTTCCCAACCTCCGAGGTAGGTCTCAGCGCGAGCGGCCATCTTTGCTACTTGTGATGATTTAGTAGTTTGAAATCCATTTTTTGTCATACTTT